AAAAATACTCATATTGTAATAACAATGAAAAACAGCAATAACAGAATCAATGTTTCTGGACTTTATGCTTCATATCACTTTGGGCAAGCTAGTTATTAATGTTTTACTCCTTGGTTTCCATTTTGGGGATTTAAAAAATGAAAATTGTTTGTTGTCCATGACCATAAAATATGTTTGATGCAGAAAACCTGGGAAGCCCCGCCAGGCATGGCTCAGCTGTTGAGCATCGACCTAGGATCCAGGAGATTGCGGTTTGATTCCCGGTCAGGGCACATGCCCGGGTTGCGGGCTCGATCCCCAGTCGGGGGCGTGCAGCAGGCAGCCGATCAATGGCTCTCATCATTGATGTTTCTATCTCTCTCTCCCTCTCCCTTCCTCTCTCTGAAATCAATAAAGATATATTTTTTTAAAAAAGAAAGAAAATCTGGGAAAATGGCAAAGTTAAAAAGGAGGAAGTATCAGTCTCCTCCAATATGTCCATCCAAAGATGAACAGATCGATCAATGTGGTTTTTCTTTTATAGTTTTTCCTGATTCTGTGGAATGTAGGAATATCATCTACATATTTTGAACATAGTTGGTTTCATTCTACATAGTTTTATATTTTGCTCTTATTTTATTTTTTAAATCCTCACCCAAGGATATGTTTTTTACTTGATTTTGAGAGAGAGAGAGAGAAAGACGGATCAGTTGCCTCCGGCAACCATGCCTCTGGGTGGAGCCTTGAACAAAGCGTCTCCCTGCGGCTCCCCATGGGTAATGTGTCTGAATAGCAGCTCTGGAACAATGCACCGAGCACCAGAGTTGCGGGAGTTTGGGAGCTAACGTTTGGAAGACGGTACTTTGTTCCCTGTGCCAAATGCTCCTGTGGCATGGTCCAGAGACACGAGTAGTTGAAGAATAAAAAAGGCACATGAGGTGCAGTTCTTCACTGTACAATCAGATTGTCATACTTTTTACAGGATTGCTTTTTGCTCTTTACCATTTGTCTGGTTTATCTATGGTTCCCTTTCTGATTTTTATTATTTTGTGCCTATAATGAAGAACTGTTTGTAATCCAAGAGTTCCTTTTGTTGGGCTATAGTCCGAACAGTGGGAAAGATCTCTCTTTCATGTCATTGGATGATACCACCATTAAAAGAAACTTTTGTTTGTAAAACAGATTGCCAAATTACTTAGATACCATTACCCCGAATCCTCACATAAAAATGGTTTATCAATTTCCTTGGATGTTGATAGTAAGGAATAAAAAACCTCTTTGCTAAAAATGTTAAATGTGCTTGGGGGGGGATAAATAACCAAGAGGATTTCTTGAAATAGGAAATTTGTTGTTGATTGAATTTATCTTGAAAGTTTGATTGTGAATCTGATAAAGTCATAGTTTAAAGGATTTTTTTCAATGTTAATTTGCTCATATGTTCACATGATCTACGTATTAGTTAAATGGTCTCTTGGAATTTCTTTCAGGATTTTTCATTTTACATACACTGTAGTTCAGTTCGTTGGGGGTTCCTGGTCATTGCATCGTGGTCATGCTCATAAGTAGCAAGCTGGTTCTTAGACTTGAGCAAACTAAGAACGAAATCGGCTCTTGGTGGCTCTACGAGAAAATAGACACTAATCAAGGAGAACTGGCTACCAGCCTTGTTCACATCATTCTAGCAAAAAAATATACCAATTGCATATTTCGGAGAAACTTTGTTTGATAATAGGTACTGTGTGAGAACCAAAATACTAAAAAGAAAACATCTTTGTAGGGATAATTCTCTGTAGTAATTAGAAAACTCACCTGTCCCCTCTTCCCATTTTTAGAGTACATTAAATTTGTTGTGGTAGCTCCCATGTAAGTAATGTTCTTGTTTATCTGCTTCTTTCTCAACCCCAGAAAAGGGGCCTGGAGGTGATACAGATCTAGCTGTGGATCCAGTCGGAAGCTGCTCTTAAACAAGAGGGGTGGCATCCAGACCAACAGAGCGTTTGAGCAAACCGAGAGTCTGAATCACAAGGAGTTGTCACTTTTTGGGGAACTCTGATGTGTTGGAAACAAAATAGGTCTCAGGTTGAATGTGCAATGTGTTTATAGTCAGATTGCTGAGTATATATGGATCGGGGAATCTTTATTGTGCTAACCAATTTGCTAACACTTTTTTTTTTTTAAACTATTTTGGTTACTTTTGAATAGTGTTTAAATTAAAATAGAAAATTTTAGGTTTATGACAAGTATATTATATGATGCTACTTAGGAGGATGGTTTTGTAACTCCTTCAGGTTTTTTGTTTTGTTTCCTTAGCTTTGTCTTGTTTGTCTAGCTAAACATTTGACTAATGGTCTGTTTGAATTTGGAAGTATTCTCATACGACACAATATTTGAATAAAGTTTATCCTTAAAGATGTAGTGGTCTCATTTCATTAAAAAATATATTCTGAAGCTTAATCAGTAACAGGGGGGAAAAGGAAATAGAATTTTGGGATATCCCTAGTAAAGAAACCACGATTCTAAAAACTGGGGGAAACACAGCAATATTAAAGCTCTAGGTTTAGTCTCTCGGCTGGTACTTTAAATGCATTTTCTTATTTACTCCTCGACTCTAAGGTGCATATTAATAGTATCCATATTTTACAGGTGAGAAAACTGAAAGTTTTTAGAGAGGTTAAATAACTTGCCTAAGGTCAAAGAGCTAGAGGCTTGATCAAACTGGACCTGTCTAATTTCAAAGTCCACACTTTTAAAACCATGGTTTTCTCTAGGTGGTAGAATGCAAAGTAAAGATCTTAGCTACAGGTCCTGGTTATAGGCTGCTTACTATATTTGTGACCTAGGCGGGTTATATAATACCTTGAACCTTGACCTTCCTCATCTGTGAAATGGGGATAATAAAGCCTCTCTTGCGGTGTTTTTAAGATTAGAAATAATTTATGTGAAGTACCTGAAAAAGGAGTAGGCATTCAATAAACATTTCCCTCTTTTCCCTGAAGGATAGTCCGTGTGCACCACACTGGGTGTTTTGTTTTTAAGCTCAACTCATTGAATACTTTCAGTGGTTTCCTCCTTCCGCACCAGCACGTGCCACCCACAAAGGATTTTAGAGGTGCTCCCGAATGGGACATCAACACAATCGGAGTGGCTACCCACCTGTAAAATGAGCTTTGCTCCATGAGAGTGAGGGAAAGATGTTTGCATAGGAAACATTATCAAGCCCCGAAGCCTGCTGGGAATAGTGGGAACAGAACCTTAAAAGCTGGGGGTAAGTTCAATAGACGGAAGGAGACGGTTTCGCATGACACGCGGTTGACATAGACACGTATGTTGCTTGTTCCTGAGATAATGAAAAGACAAGTTTGGCTCAACAGGTAGGAGTCACAGTTGTGAATTATGGGGAAAAAGACGGCGTTTTAGGGCCAGATTATAGAAAGCCTTCAGTTGCATGCTGAGGAGTTAAACCTAACTCTCTATTTAAACATCTTTACCCTAAATGGCAATAGGATAGGAGAAACCAAATGTCTCAGAATGAATGATTTTGCACCTTAGAAGACTAAGATAAACTGATGATGAACGATCATCAGACAAAGATGATTGTTCATCAGATGATGAACAGTATCATGAGACAAAGAAGCATGGAACAGACTGACGAATCTCAGAGGAAAGGTGGGGGTGGATGGGTGGGAAGAGGCTAATAACCGAAGAACTTACATGCATCTATGCACAACCCATGGACACAGGCAATAGTGTGGTGAAGGCCTGAGGCGGGGGCCGTGGTGGGGTAGAAGGGGTCAAGGGAGAAAATAAGGGGACATCTGTAATACTTTCAACAATAAAGGTAAATTTTTTAAAAAAAGAAGAAATACAGAATTTTGGGTGATAAAAAAAAAAAAAAAAGNGGGTCAAGGGAGAAAATAAGGGGACATCTGTAATACTTTCAACAATAAAGGTAAATTTTTAAAAAAAAGAAGAAATACAGAATTTTGGGTGATAAAAAAAAAAAAAAAAGAAGACAGAACACACAGTAACTTATGAACTGGGCAGAAGGGGTGGGGATGGGATAGTTACAGTCAACCGAGCTTGCTTACCAAGTACTGGCTACCCCTGTTCACAAGGGCTTAATTGTAGAGAAGTCAGAGAAACAAGGCCATACTTAGACCAAAATATACTTAACTAAGCAGTGGCATACATTTTTTGTACCCTTTGGGAAACTAAAAAAAAAAAAAAAAAAAAAA